GGTAGACACAACCCATGTATAATGGCCCTAGAACGTAGTTTAGTAAAACGCATAATATCAATATTTGCAAATATAATACTAGCTCTGCAGAGGTGACTATCTAAAGAATAAAAATATAAACAAAAAATGACACGTGTACGATTTATCTTGGCGTATGTTTCTATTTCTATCACATCACGTTATAAAAACGCAGGATTTTGCAAAGAATCTGACACACAACTTGCACTTCAGAGGATATCTAGGCTCACGATGTTTTCTCTAGTATTATTGGTTGTTACACCATGGCTTGTATTTTGTATGCCACCACCACCACCAGCTATGTGTACATGTTCTGATGGTACTCAAGTACCACCTGGAGGAACACATTCAATATCAGACTGCCATAGTTGTTATTGTGATGAAAATAATTCAGAAGCCCAAGAAATTATAGCTGCCTGTTTAATAGTGCTATGTGTTGATTCTGTAAAAATGCCAGGACAATGTTGTCCTACCTGCCCAAATGGTAAGTTTATAATCTTTATATGTCGACCTACACCTTGCAAAAAATAAACTAAATGACTAATGAACATGAAAAGTGACTTTTTACGGAATGCAGTTCAAGATTATACTTTTCAGTATGTGGCTAATCAAGGATATAGATATATCATGATTTCAAAGGCCGTTTAACGTGCTCAGACGACATTGGAAAGCACAGACTTTCTCCATTGATATTTTTCAAACTTAATCCAGCTGTAAAGCGAACGAGTTTTATCGTATTACACTGTATTGTAATATCTACAATAATATAATTATAGGGGAAAACTGTCAAGCTGAATATATAGATTTTACTGGAGTACCACGACAAGAAATTATTTCTGTCAGTGACGGGGTAGTTGATTTTGGTGCTGCTCAATGTCAATGCGAGAATCAGAATTATTACGGAGCCGACCAACCATTAGCAACTTGTGTACAAAGCCTACCCACACCGCCCACTACACCACCAACCACACCACCAACCACAACCCCCACTACACCAACAACCACAACAACACCACCAACCACAACAACACCACCCACTACACCACCAGCTATGTGTACATGTTCTGATGGAACTCAAGTACCACCTGGAGAAACTGTTTGGATAACAGACTGTCGCGGATGTACTTGTGATAAGGATAGTTTACAAGCCTATGAAATCATCGCTGATTGTTTTATGACACCATGTGTAGATTCTGTAAACGTACCAGGTCAATGTTGTCCTAACTGTCCAAATGGTAAGATAGTGTATCTTTCATTAGCCGTTAGTGACAACAAATGACTACCAACCTACATTCAGTTCGATAAATTAGAACATCTCGCTGAATAAATATTAAACTAGTAATAAGTAAAGAATAGCAAGAAAATACTTTCACTTACATTCTTGTCATACAATATTAAAATTGTGTACACATATAAAACAATTAGAAACAGGAAAATCGACTATAGTAGGACATCAAAGACGTACTATCCTTCTTTTGCAAGATGGAATAACAGCAACAAAATAACAACTTTCATAACAATGTTATTGGTGTTGTCAATGTGTTATTCAATCATGATTTCTTTCTATTCTTATTGTGAGATGAATAAATAAATAACCTATATGTTTTCAGGAGAGAACTGTCGAGCTGAATTTAAAGATGATAATGGTGTTGAAAGAAGTGAAATTATCAAAGTTAGTGATGGTGTAGTCAAGTTCAACTCAACTGAATGTCAATGCGACTATCAAAATTACAATGGAGAACCAAAAGCAAAGTGTGTACAAGTATTGAGTATTGAGCCGGTAATTGCAGAAAAATCAACTCCGTAATTTGCTTTAATAAATGTATAAGTAAAACTGTTTCAACCTTTCGGAGTTTTTTATAATTCAAAATAATGGGTTCTGTTTTTGAGCAGGATAACTCTTGTCAACACTATTTACCGACATTCTCGCACTTACAATATTGTAACTTTGTATTCAACTGAAAATGAAATGAAATATGTTAAGGAGCGTCAGCTCCAAACGAGCACCTAGACACGATTAAAGGGGTTGATTTGAGTCCCGAACATATGTAAATAGTCTTCAGAAGTACTAGAAATGTACGAAAATCGCATCATTCCTTCATAAATATCTCAAGCTAGGAATTTCTTTTCCTATTCCTATAGATGTCATTTATATATGACATGCAGTGTCTCTCATAAAAAGATGACTCGTCTTTTTAAACCTCTAAAGAATTCCCGTTTCTGAGACTTAAATATGATATGGTAAAAAAAGCCTTTTAATGTATGTTGTATGACATCACTAGTCTCAGAGACATGGACATTAACTGAATCATGTAACTTTTTTAGATTAATTCAAAATAAAAGTACACATACAAGTGGTAAAATAGAGGATAATGTAAAACGTATAACTATAAAATGACCGATAATATCACAGTATAGGTGGTATTAAAGTTCAACACAAACAATCAATCTAAACATGGGTAAAATTGAAAACAATATAATTACACGAAATGTTTAAAATGTTTAGAAGTTGAGATGACTTAATCTCGTTAAGATATACATG